GCCAATTTATTTTCAGATGGCATTTTCGTAATTTATTGGGCGAAGAAAGGCCATTTTCTTTGGATATTGAAGGCTACAGATCACTGATTCGGCCTGAGGCTATTCTCCAACGATGATTGAGTCCATTAAGCACCGATTTGGGCGGATTTATTTTGGATCAATTTTTTGCAGATTCCAAAGGGGTACCATCACAGATTTCGAGCGATTTATCCGAAATGCCATTTTCTTTCGATCTGGAGGCTACAAATCACAGAATCAGGCCGAGGCTATTCTCCACCGATAATGAAGTCTACTGATCCTATTCTCCACGGATGATAAGTCCGTTAAGCATCAATTTGGGCCAATTTATTTTTGGATGACATTTTTCGTAATTTCTTGGGCGACGAAAGGCTATTTTCTGTGGATATTGAAGGCTACAGATCACGGATTCGGCTTGAGGCTATTCTCCAACGATTATTGAGTCCATTAAACACTGATTTAGGCATATTTATTCCGGGTCAATTTTTTGCAGATTCCAAAGGGGTACCATCACAGTTTTCAGGCGATTTATGCGAAATGCCATTTTCTTTCGATTTTGGAGGCTGCAGATCACGGAATCAGGCCGAGGCTATTCTCCACCGATAATGAAGTCTATTGATACTATTCTCCAGCAATGATAAGTCCGTTAAGCATCGGTTTGAGCCAATTTATTTTCAGATGGCGTTTTCGTAATTTATTGGGCGACGAAAGACCATTTTCTTATGATATTGAAGGCTACAGATCACGGATTCGGCCTGAGGATATTCTCCAACGATGATTGAGTCCATTAAACACCGATTTGGGCGGAATCATTCCGGGTCAATTTTTGGCAGATTCCAAAGGGGTACCATCACTGATTTCGGGCGATTTATCCGAAATGCCATTTTCTTTCGATTTTGGATGCTACAAATCAAGGAATCGGGCTGAGGCTATTCTCCACCGATAATGAACTCTATTGATCCTATTCTCCACGGATGATAAGTACGTTAAGCATCAATTTGGGCCACTTTATTTTCGGATGACATTTTTCGTAATTTCTTGGGAGACGAAAGGCCATTTTCTTTGGATATTGAATGCTACAGATCACGGATTCGGCCTGAGGCTATTCTCCAACAATGATTGAGTCCATTAAGCACCGATTTGGGCGGATTTATTCCAGGTCAATTTTTGGCAGATTCCAAAAGGGTACCATCACAGATTTCGGGCGATATATCCGAAATGCCATTTTTTCGATTCTGGACGGTACAGATCACGGAATCAGGCCAAGGCTATTCTCCACCGATAATGAAGTCTATTGATCCTATTCTAAACGGATGTTAAGTCCGTTAAGCATCGACTTGGGCAAATTTATTTTTGGATGGCATTTTCGTAATTTCTTGGGCGGCGAAATACCATTTTCTTATGATATTGAAGGCTACATATCACAGATTCGGCCTGAGGCTATTCTCCAACAATGATTGTGTCCATTAAGCACCGATTTGGGCGGATTTATTCCGGGTCAATTTTTGGTAGATTCTAAAGGGGTACCATCACAGATTTTGGGCGATTTATCCGAAATGCCATTTTCTTTCGATTCTGGAGGCTACAGATCATGGAATCAGGCAGAGGCTATTCTCCACCATAATGAAGTCTATTGATCCTATTCTCCATGAATGATAAGACCGTTAAGCATCGATTTGGGCCAATTTATTTTCGGATGGCATTTTCGTAATTTATTGGGCGAAGAAAGGCCATTTTCTTTGGATATTGAAGGCTACAGATCACGGATTCGGCCTGAGGCTATTCTCCAACGATGATTGAGTCCATTAAGCACCGATTTGGGCGGATTTATTCTGGATCAATTTTTGGCAGATTCCAAAGGGGTACCATCACAGATTTCGGGCGATTTATCCGAAATGCCATTTTCTTTCGATTCTGGAGGCTACAGATCACAGAATCAGGCCGAGGCTATTCTCCACCGATAATGAACTCTACTGATCCTATTCTCCACGGATAAGTCCGTTAAGCATCAATTTGGGCCAATTTATTTTTGGATGGCATTTTCGTAATTTCTTGGGCGACGAAAGGCTATTTTCTGTTCATATTGAAGGCTACAGATCACGGATTCGGCCTGAGGCTATTCTCCAACGATTATTGAGTCCATTAAGCACCGAATTGGGAAAATTTATTCCGGGTCAATTTTTGGCAGATTCCAAAGGGGTACCATCACAGATTTCAGGCGATTTATGCGAAATGCCATTTTCTTTCGATTTTGGAGGCTGCAGATCACGGAATTAGGCCGAGGCTATTCTCTACCGATAATGAAGTCTATTGATCCTATTCTCCAGTAATGATAAGTCCGTTAAGCATCGGTTTGGGCCAATTTATTTTCAGATGGCGTTTTCGTAATTTATTGGGCGACGAAAGACCATTTTCTTATGATATTGAAGGCTACAGATCACGGATTCGGCCTGAGGCTATTCTCCAACGATGATTGAGTCCATTAAGCACCGATTTGGGCGGAATCATTCCGGGTCAATTTTTGGCAGATTCCAAAGGGGTATCATCACTGATTTCGGGCGATTTATCCGAAATGCCATTTTCTTTCGATTTTGGAGGCTACAGATCACCGAATCAGGTCGAGGCTATTCTCCACCGATAATGAAGTCTATTGATCCTATTCTCCACGGATGATAAGTCCGTTAAGCATCGATTTGGGTCAATTTATTTTTGGATGGCATTTTCGTTATTTCTTCAGCGATGAAAGGGCATTTTCTTTGGATATTGGAGATTACATATCACGGATTCGGCCTGAGGCTATTCTCCAACGATGATTGTGTCCATTAAGCTCCTATTTGGGCGGATTTATTCCAGGTCAATTTTTGGCAGATTCCAAAGGGGCACCATCACTGATTTCGGGCGATTTATCCGAAATGCCATTTTCTTTTGATTTTGGAGGCTACAGATCACCGAATCAGGTCGAGGCTATTCTCCACCGATAATGAAGTCTATTGATCCTATTCTCCACGGATGATAAGTCCGTTAAGCATCGATTTGGGCCAATTCATTTTTGGATGGCATTTTCGTAATTTCTTCAGCGACGAAAGGGCATTTTCTTTGGATATTGGAGATTACATATCACGGATTCGGCCTGAGGCTATTCTCCAACTATGATTGTGTCCATTAAGCACCTATTTGGGCGGATTTATTCCTGGTCAATTTTTGACAGATTCCAAAAGGGTACCATCACTGATTTCGGGCGATTTATCCGAAATGCCATTTTCTTTTGATTTTAGAGGCTACAGATCACCGAATCAGGTCGAGGCTATTCTCCACCGATAATGAAGTCTATTGATCCTATTCTCCACGGATGATAAGTCCGTTAAGCATCAATTTGGGCCAATTTATTTTCGGATGACATTTTTCGTAATATCTTGGGCGACGAAATGCCATTTTCTTTGGATATTGAAGGCTACAGATCACGGATTCTGCCTGAGGCTATTCTCCAACGATGATTGAGTCCATTTAGCACCGATTTGGGCGGATTTATTCCGGGTCAATTTTTGGCAGATTCCAAAGGGGTACCATCACAGATTTGAGGCGATTTATCCGAAATGCCATTTTCTTTCGATTCTGGAGGCTACAGATCACGGTATCAGGCCGAGGTTATTCTCCACCGATAATGAATTCTATTGATCTTATTCTCCACGGATGATAAGTCCGTTAAGCATCAATTTGGGCCAATTTATTTTCGGATGACATTTTTCGTAATATCTTGGGCGACGAAAGGCCATTTTCTTTGGATATTGAAGGCTACAGATCACGGATTCGGCCTGAGGCTATTCTCCAACGATGATTGAGTCCATTAAGCACCGATTTGGGCGGATTTATTCCGGGTCAATTTTTGGCAAATTCCAAAGGGGTGCCATCACAGATTTCAGGCGATTTATCCGAAATGCCATTTTCGTTCGATTTTGGAGGCTACAGATCATGGAATCAGGCCGAGGCTATTCTCCACCGATAATGAAGTCTATTGATCCTATTCTCCACGGATGATAAGTGCATTAAGCACCGGTTTGGGCCAATTTATTTTTGGATGACATTTCCATAATATTTTGTCGGCGAAAGGCCATTTTCTATGGATTTTGAAGGGTACAGGTCACAGATACGACCTGAGGCTATTTTTCATCGACGATTAAGTTTATTAAACACCAATTTAGGCAGATTTATTCCGGGTCAATTTTTGGCAGATTTCAAAGGGGTACCATCATTGATTTTGGGCGATTTTTCTAAAATGTCATTTTCTTTCGATTCTGGAGGCTACAGATCACGAAATCGGGCTGAGTCTATTCTCCACCGATAATGAAGTCTATTGATCCTATTCTTCATGGATGATAAGTGCATTAAGCACCAGTTTGGGCCTATTGATTTACGGATGATATTTTAACAATATTTTGGGCGACGGAAGGCCATTTTCTTTGGATTTTGAAGGCTACAGGTCACCAATTCGGCCTAAGACTATTCTTCAAAGATGATTTAGTTCATTAAGCACCTATTTGGGTGAATTTATTCCAGGTCAATTTTTGGCAGATTCCAAAGGGGTACCATCATAGATTTCGGGCGATTTTTTTCGAAATGCCTTTTTCTTTCGATTCTGTAGGCTATAGATCACGGAATCATGCCGAGGCTATTCTCCACCGATAATTAAGTCTATTGATCCTATTCTCCACGGATGATAAGTGCGGATGGCATTTTCGTAATTTTTTGGGCGGCAAAATGCCATGTTCTTTGGATTTTGAAGGCTACAGGTCACGGATTTGGTCTGAAGCTATTCTTCAACGATTATTAAGTCCATTAAGTACCGATTTGGGCGGATTTATTCCGGGTCAGTTTTTGGCATATTCTAAAGGGGTACCTCTTTAGAATCGTCCAAAAATGAACTCGAAAAAAAAAATCCGACAAGATCATTGCTTAATAGAGTTAATCAACGATGAGGAATAGCCTTAGGCAGAATCCGACAATCCGTGATTTTGTAATTCAGTGTAGACATATTTACGGGAGTCTGTGCTTACCTTTTATTTGCCTTTGTTCGCGCGGCTCGTCAATCGTGACCGTTAGATTAATTATTTAACTCCTTGTTTAAATTTAAATAAAAAAGATGAAGTAAATTGTTATTCCATTCATCACTTGCTACAAATTGCTATTCTTGCTTTTTCATGTCTAAATACAACGCTTATATAACACATAGACAAACTAAACATTAGGTCTCAACGCCAGTCGACGCCTAACGCCTAACGCCTTACCACGTACATTAACTAAGTACGTAGTTTAGCATCAAGGCCGGGGATGAGTTACCGTCACAACCCTCATAGGGGTTGTGATTTTCACTTCCTCCTTCGCAGCCATTAGATCCACCCTCTCTCTTGGTTTTTCAAATTAACGGTTTAGATTAAATGAAGGGTATTTTTGGAAGAGAAAAACTTACCACAAAGGATCCTTTCTCATTTTCTATATAATCTGATTTCCTTAAAAAAAAAACTCTTCCTCTCTCCCCTCTCTCTTCCCTCTCCCGAGAACCCTAACTGCTCTGTCTCTCCCTCCCGTTGTCGTCGCCGCCGCTGCCGCTGCCCCCTCCCGTTGCCACCGTCGTCCTCTTTCTCTCCCGTCGCCACCGCCGCCATCTCTACCTCCCGCCGCAGCCGTCGCGTCATCCGCCTCCCACCATCGCAGCCCTCTCTCCTCCCTCCAACTCCTGTCACCGCCATCTCTCTCCCGCCGTCCTCCTCTGCCGCCGCCGCCGTCCAACTCCTGTAACGACCTCTCCCCTTCCTTCTCCTTTCCTCATTCCTTTTTTTTTCAGATCTGGGATTTTCCAGATTCCAGATCTTGTTTTTTTATGTTATTCTCTAGTGGTACTGATTTCTGTCTAGTGGTACGCTACCAGTGGTAGTGGTAGCGTACCAGTACTCAGTGGTAGCGGTACCAGTGAGTAGTGGTACTGATTTCTGTCTAGTGGTACGCTACCAGTGGTAGTGGTATCGTACCACTATTCACTGGTAGCGATACCAGTGGTAGTGGTAGCGTACCACTACTCACTGGTAGCGGTACGAGTGGTATTTGTAGCGTACCACTACCACTAGTACGTACCACTACTACTGGTAGCGTACCACTAGATGAAAATCAATACCACTAGCACACTGACGGAGTGGTTTTTTTGTAGTTGGCCGGAGCCAGTCTGATTGGAGGATTTCACCGGAAAAGTTCGTCGGCCAGAGAAACTTTGGCGGTCGGAGTGAAGAGGTTGCTGGAAAAGAAAGAGAGAGATATAAGCGTATTAATTGTAGGATTTAAATTAAGAAAGTATTTAATCTGGGTTTTTAATTCCCAATTTGTAATTAATACAAAAATAAATAAATAATAAATTCTTTTTTTTTCATACCCAAATTGCCCTTGGATGTGAATCTCACATCCCTCTTAGGGGATGTGACGGTAACTCATCCCTCAAGGCCGGGCCCAGCCCAATGATCTTTATCGGTTCCAATTACAGACGTGAACTCGATCCCCGCTATAAGTGTCAACCCCATCAACTCCATCATCCGACACGTCGAACCCCTTGACGAACGTGACGTGATCGGCCTCGTCGAACGCGGCGAAAGAGAGACGCCGATCACGAAACGCAGCGTTGCACCAGAAATACGTTGCCCCGCCCACCAAGTTCTGGCCGAAGCTGAACCCGTAGGTGGCGTTGGCGTCGAGGGCGCGACCCCCGAGGTCGTCGTCGGCGGACCTGCAGTGCAGTATCAGCGCCATTCCGCTGCTCAGCTTGTTCGTGACGCGTATCGTCACGTCGTAGGATCCCGCCGCCGTCGCCATCGCCGCCATCGCGACCGCCGCCAGCAGAAGCAGCTTCCTCGCCGTGATCATTGTGGCGATGATCGAGTAAAGGGAGTCGGTACGTATTTTTTTTTTTTTTCTTCGAGCTTAGCTTGTAATAAATGAATGAATTGATGATGATTTAATATGGATGGGAGCTCTCGCTTTTGCTGTTGGAGACGTACGGCTCTTGTAGATTTGGTAGTTTGGCTCTGCTTTAGTTGTGTGTTATATATTCTGAATCTATAGGCATGCATGGGGCGCTTTTGGTTACAAATTACAGTGCATTGGTCTTGGAATTGGCCACAAACCGATAGAATAGTAAAATATGCTTCTATTTGGCAGTTATATATATGTACTTATACTTATTGGTCTGACTCTTGAGATATTTCATAGTTTTCTACCTGGATGATGAATTATACGAAGTTTCGGGTGTATGATACTGTATCCTAATATCGAATGGCTAAATCATGGGCACTGTTTCTCTAAACCCGAACCCAAAGTTCAGTTGAACAGAAAATAATGATTGCTCATTGAGATTGGTCGGAGCTCATTCAAGCACGTCTAACGGGCAGATTACCTGTAGTATACTATACTTATATTTTGCTTTGATCAATTATTGTCTCTTTGTCGGTTAAGCAAATTTAATTTGATTTTTGCGAATATAAGAATTGGGATACAGCTATGTAAGTTTGTTCATTAAATACGTTATACATCCAAGTGATAGTGTATGCTATTCGAATTATTACGGAGTAATATTACATCGGAATAGTAGTGTATGCTATTCGAATTATTACAAAGTAATATTACATCGGAATGATAGTGTATGCATGCTATTTGAATTATTACGGAGTAATATTACATTGAAATAGTAGTGTATGCTATTCGAATTATTACGGAGTAATATTACATTGAAATAGTAGTGTATGCTATTCGAATTATTACGGATTAGTATTATGAGTTACCCTAATCAATTACAGTTAAATTTCTTTAGATCGTCATCCAAACACTATATTCTAAATCTCCTAAAAATCTGTCAATTCTTTCCTAGTTAATTCTCTTACCAAACCCCTACTAGACACAAGATTATGATCAGGGTTGCAGGGTTAGCTGTTGGGTATAATCACTAATCAGACTGGATTGAATATAATTCGACTTGGCTCTCAATGAATTCGCAGCAAAACAAAGAAACAACGATTTCGAGTACTCATGCCACCTTTATTTTCATTTTTCGATGTGTCAAAAGTCAAGAGCCTGATCAAGAAATATTGGCATTGGACAGAGTTTTGCTCACTACAACACCAGCAGATGTCCTCATTTCACGATCATCGTCTCCGCCAAGCACAGCTATCCCGGCATTGTTTGTCTTCAGATGAGGCTGCACAGATTCCCATATCTTTTTCTTTTGAATCTGCAGAGAGTAAAAAGAATGAAACAAACAGAACCGTGTACAGTTAGTTGCAACTTCACTTACCAGCCTCAGATGGTTAGAACACAGAATTATATGGCTTACAGCAGTCAATGGAGTTGACACTACTTTTGGCTTGGCTTCTTACGATGTGGTTTTCGAAGAAGTGCTATAACAGCTAACGAACCTCAACGTTTGATCTCGTTTTAGTTCTACACCCACAACCCGAGCAAAAATCCCGAAGAAGATGTGCTTTAAAGTGATTTGGAACTATGACATGCCATACTGAATAAGCCCTTAACGTTAAGGGCTCCAACGAGGAGGAGAAGTTGATTTCAGAACAGCTACAGGAAATTGAGAGACATGAGCTGGTTCTTTCACCAATTTTCTGTGAAAGATGAAGACTTTGGATAATGTCCTTGAAGTGTAGATGGAGAAAGTGAATAGTGCCGCCAACATTCACTATGTTCTTTTCTCCTAATAGAAACAGGGCTCATAAGAAGCCATTGGCTTTGCACATTTCATAAGCTGATTGTTTTCGAAACTCAAACAAGTTCTTCAGACACATATGAATGGAAAATCGGAACTCTGTATCATTATCGACTCGAATTCATACTGCTACTGCTACTGCTACTACTACTATCTCATTGAGCATCCCTTCATGATCTCATCCAAGTCCTGATACCAGTAGGCCTCTAGTGTGTTCTCGACTTGGCGTTCTTAACTTAATCTCAAAGGGAACTAAACAAAACTCAAGCACATAACCATTAAAACAGACTTTCAACACAAGCATGTATGACATACTAAGTTCCTAGATGTCAAAAACGGAGGAATGAGTGGCTAACCTGGTTGGGAGATGCAGCCTCAGGTTGAGCATCTTTGTCATCCTCAGAGCCAAACCAGATCCTCTCCCCCGGGATTGAACCTTCCGGCGGCTCAAGCAACTCCACATTCTCATGGGCAGCATCAGAAGCAGCCATAAGCATTCCATTAGACTTCACCCCACGCATGTTCCTGGGCTTCAAATTAGCCAGAACCACCACTTTCCTGTCCTGCCAAAACAATACCCACCATTTCCATTCTCCAATCGAAAAATTACATCTTCCAAAAGTCCCCATTCAAGTTCACAAGACACCATTTTCACAGCAGGGAGACCCTTGCTCTACCACTGAAATGTCTTCCTATCAAGCTCAACTACGCTCTCATATCTCAAGATGCTGGATGAATTAGAAAGCGCTCACCTGGAGATGCTGCAGGGGAATGTACTTGACAAGGCCGCTGCATATGATGCGTGGCTCAGCTTCTCCAACATCCACTTCCTCCACGTACAGCGAATCGGCCTCCTCGTGTCTCCAAGCTTTGATTATCTTCCCAACCCTTAAGTCGAGCAGGTTAGCTACATCCTTTATACTCCCACTTCCGCCGCCCTCCGTCTCTTCTTTCTTCTGAATCTCGCCTCCATCGGCGGCTGTAGCCGTGGTGGAACCCTCCGCCGCCGTGCAGAAAGATACGAAGGGAGAAATTCCGCGGGAGATTGGCGATTGTTGTGGCGCCATGGATTTCGCGACGGAAGTTGTAGTCAGTGGCGGGACGTGAATCCGCGCCAGAGAGCAGCGGATTGAAGGAGGTGACCGGGAAATGAGAGCCGGAAGTGGATTGACTCTCATAATGACGGCAGCGGCGGCGGAGGCCGCCGTCTTAGCGGAGCTCGTCGCAGTTGCCAGCGCCATTTCCTTTTTGGATAACCTATTTGATCCGCGCCGGAGAAATTCTTTTTTATACTGCTTCTTGGCCGAACTATCGAAATTTTGTATTCATACACTAACTTTCAATGTTTGTCCGTTTTACCACCCATTTCCTACAAAACAACAACAAACACCACCAAATTGGCAAATTTAGTGGCTGCCATTTCATCTGCTTTCATTTGATTCCGGATTTCTCCTTTCTGGTTTGGAAATCAGACCTCTCAAAGCTCTGAACTTTACAATGCCAAATCCAATTCGCTGCATTCGAATTTGAGTTTTCAGATTGAGTAGATTATAGTTAACTCGTAGATCAGAAGGCCAAGAGCGGATTCGATCGCTTTCAAGGTATTCTTTGGTGAATTTGTCTGCAAAGTTTGGTGAGTAGATTGACTTTGTATAATGAGTTCTCAATTACATCAAAGTTGGTGAAATTATGAAAGTTAATCCTATAAAGCTCCTAGATTTGCAAAAGATGAACCCAAGCAGCAGGGGCGAAAAAGGAGAGTAAAGTGGTCAGAACTTGAACCTGATTTCCAGTATATGCAAAAACTAAGGAAGTAAAAAGTTTCTACCTAACACAATTGTTAGCTTCCCATGCTCCGTGAGTATTTACACAAAGACTGAGGAACTTTTTGCTGCCTGTAGAAATCGTCAGATGCATTCTAAACTCTTCTGTACTATGCTATGTTTCTTAAGTACTAAGAGGTCTGCAAAAAAAAAGTATCAGAAACTTTCCTCAAGGCTTTTGTGAACTTCGAGAATCATTGGTTGCAGCTGATGCACCGCTTTGTTGCCTGGGATCACTTTTTTGACCTCTGCGCGAGCCTGATTTAGAGTCAGCACGCAGAGTGTTGGCCGAGAGGCAGTGCCGAACATGGACCCGATGAGTTGTGACCTCAGTTGAGCTGCTGCCTTGTACAACGACTACAAGGATCACTTCTTTGTCTCTGGTGTCTTCACACCACCAGTTCTGTGGGATGCCGTCTACTAAATCTTCTAGTGTGTGGAACTCTTCATGGTGCACTGATACTTCCATGCTATTGTCAGGTTTGATTATTCCAGCTGCTGGTGTGACCTATGTTAATGAACGAAAGTGGTGTCAATCTAGTATGCAAAAACAACGTTCTTGCTGTTGTTTGCTGCTCACTCTTTCTGGTTGCAGTAGTTGATTATTAGATGCTTTATCTGGCATCTACTGAACGTATAGATTCTATCAAATGGAATGAATGTTTTAGGAATGCACAGGAAGGAAGTAGATTTACTCACCTCAAGCCACCGGGGGAAGCCATGGTTACCTCGTGCATGATACTCGGCTTCATCCCCTTCATCCTTGAAATTGGCTTGGCCTTCACAGTAGATCCTGAACACTACTTTGTCTGCTGCAGATTTGTTGGCGATCCTGAGGATGGCAGTGTCCTGATTTTGCAGAGCAATGCTGTTGGTGCTGATGGCTGTCTCTGGGACCACTCGAGATTCCTCCAACAGCGATTGAATCTTCTCATTCGTCTTCAGGATCTCGCCAAACTCTTGCCTCCTCACTGATCTATCTGTGTGAGCTACTTGGATGTGGAACTTGCACCGTACGGGTTTGTGGTCGCTCTCAGTCACTTCCATGACAGCTTCATATCTGTGGGAAGTAGGGACATGGTCAACGAGGTGTTTGGTTGAAGATGAAGAAGAATATATGAAATGCTGTTTGTTTACTGGATGACTGCAGAGACAACAGGGCACTCCAAGCTACATTCGCATTGCGATGGTGTAGCTGAACCTGGCCGTGTATCACGGAATATAACCCTGTCACACCATGCAGGTATACGTTTCTTCTCCCCAGAATCATAGCCTGCAATTTTTTTAGCAGCATGGACGCATTCAGCAATCGTATTATTAGATGATGAGACACGAAATGCATTTATAGTTAGATTACCTCCTAATCCAGGGACATTTCTCTCAAACTTGTAAGTAGGAGGGAAAGTAATGTTGGCTTCATGCATCCCTTGGAAAACCCTCCCAGCTTTCATCTCAGCTCGGAGCTGATCTCGCTCTCGAAGCCAGTCAAAGCATCTCTGAGACACAAAGTCCCTGGCCTCATCATATGATATCCCAAACAGCCGGTAGTTAAAGTCCCCAAAGAACACAACCATGTCTGCATCAGACAGCTCTGGCTTTGTGTCCTCGGACGAGCCATTGTTGTTGTTATTGCCGCCACCGCCACCACCACCGGAGTTCTAAACAGAACACACACCCGACATCACATTAAAGATTAAGCAAGGGTCAAGGACTCAATCAGGTCGCCCAACTCGCCTATACATGCATCATTACTAAGGAGCAGAGCGAGCTCGTATCGAGACAACTAGCTAGATCACAGAAGCTCGTCCTAATGGCGTGGTGGGGCGTACCTTATCGGATTTAAGGGTGTGGGAGGAGGAGGACACACCAGCTGCAACAGACAGGATGAAGGGTACACCATATGTATAATAAAGGATCCAAATTAAATACGTGGAGAAGGCAAGAGAGCAACAACAAAACAAGAACCGCAGGATCGTCAGCAGCATACCGGCGGCAGCGTTGGGGATTGTCGGCTTCCCAAACACCATGTTTCGATAGATGTGATCGAAATCTGCGTTCCTTCGGTTCACTGCTTCCAAATGTGCTGCCAAGTGACAGTTCACGAAGCACATTATCCTGTCCCGCACCCGTATTCTCAACCCTACCCCTCCCTGCACAACACAATTCACCATCATGAACTGGAAGCACATTATCTGTCTCAAATGTTAGAAGTCTCGATCGAGGTAACTTACTTACCTTATTGCCAATGGCTCGTCCAAACCCGCAAGGAACAGCTCCAGCATCAACATCCCCAACATGCTGTCTCATGTTCTTCCTCACCCTTCATGATCAAGTAAACATAAGAAATTTCAGAGTAAATTTAGCAGTGAAAAAAAAAAGGCAGTAAAATAGCTACTGTTTTATATAGGTACCAGAGAGAGACGAGCAAGCCAGCAAGCTGCCTAGATCCCATCCTTTCGAAAACAGAGCCTTCCCCTAAGGCTTTCCCAATATTGTCCAGCCACCACTGCCCAATTGCACTCCCTTCCAGTCCTACCTACACCCGCCCCATTCATCATACATAACAATAATGTACCACGAATCCACCTATATATCCACTTAATTTCCAATGGTAAAAATCATGATCATATAGCCGTCACATGAATCGGTGAGATTAGTAGTTCAAGATCCAGTATCGAGAGAATTGTGATAAAATAATCAATAATATGCAATATGATTTTACAAATTCATTCATTCACAAACATTAGGGGTCGTTTGCAAACAAAAAAAGGACCATGCATGCATATGCAACAACGTACGTAAAGATCAGCAAGGGTCAAATCTTATGTAGCGTGCAGCTAGTTATACGTACAGTTTCTTTGGCGGCGGACATAGCGAGGAACCCGGCCCCCATGTCGACCTCCTGGAGGCCGACTACGACGATCCCGACGTCCGACGCGGTGGACCCCAGCCACGCCATCATGGCCTCCTGCGAGGGCCTCCCCTGCCCCACGTTCCACGTCCCGATGAGCACCCGGAACTGGTCCTTCCTCGTGTACGTCAGCTCTTTCCCGGCCAGCTCCGACCGGAGGATCTGGTCGATCGGGCTCGGCGACAGCGTGTTCCACCCCCGGATCCCGCCGTGGCTGGCCAGGCTGTACACGTAGCCTTTCCCGACGGCTAGCTTCAGCACCGGGTTGCTGTGGGCCACCCACATTTGTAGGAGATGCCCCTCCAGGTCCAACATCTTTGATATTTCAAACCATTGGTTAGTAATAACCCTTCCAAAACAACATCTAATTCACACATTTTTGTCTTCAATTGGAATTTACTCAAGGGAGGGTAAGTACTTCGAGTCGACTCGTCATATTCACGTCATTCGGTGTTTTTTCACAATGGTAGACCCAAAAATTTCATTAAGGATGCTTAATGACGACCAAAATTATTCGGAGTTCTCAAATAGCCTCGAATCTAAATACTACCATCACTAAAACAAAATTTTACATGAACTTTTGTATGAAATTTGGACATAAGGTTTGTCGGCACTCGGCAAACAAACCCTTCATCAACTTGGGTACGCCCCTATTTATTCATGTACTATGATTATTTACACAAATGAAATCTCAAACCTTTTATTTTAACTATAACTTTTATTGGCTATTTTGCATCGGTCATAAACTACGCAATGGCATCTCATTATGATATATTTGATAATTTAATTACAACTGCGTAAACACCAGGTTGAGTAAATAACAGTTACTGTTTGCATGAATAACCACCGTTATTACGTGAACAAACACCAATACAAACAGCCTAAACAAGCATAAATTTACGTGTATAAACATAAAAATGAGTGAATTACATGATGTGGCTCAATGTCAAAATTCGTGACAGAGTAGAAGCTCTCACCTGGATGATCCCGCTGACGTAGCCGACGTAGATTCGGGTCCCGTAAGTGCAGAAGCACTGGACGGCGGTGCCGTTGAGCAAGTTGAAATCCTGCACCCGGTTCCCGTTCCCGTCCCACTGAATGATCAGCCCGTTGGTGCAGCCGCTCCACACCATCCCGTCAGCCGTCATCACGATCGCCTCCGTCTTCTTCGAATCATCCACGAAGACGTTGGTGCCACGTGTCGCCACGCGCCGCACTGCGTCCGCCGCGCCCATGATCGCGTTGCGCGACCGCTGGAGGAAGCCCTGGCCCTTCTCCTTCTTGTTTCCCGACTTCCCTTTCCCCTCCTTCGCCGGCTTTTCCGGCTTTTCCGGGACCGCCGGCAAGGCCTCCTGTTCGGAACGATACAGAGAAGATTAGCAAGCCTCAAATGACCGACCAAACCGTTCTATCATAAAAAAAAAAGGCTAAATTACACATTTGGTCACTCGAATTACATTAATCTTTCACGTTTGCCACCCGAATTATTTTTCTTTCTTACTGACCACCAACTTTACAAATTGTTTCACCTTTAGTCACCCACCGTTAGTCTCCGTTAAATTCCGTTAACACCGTCAGTTTTTTGATGATGTGGCAAACGGAACTTCTGACTGTACAATTAATTTAATAAAATAACAATTAAAAAATAAAATAAAATTAATTTACCCCTCGCCCAAACAAACTCTCTATCTTCCAATTTCTCATCTCTCTAAAACTAGTAAAGGTCTTCTCGCTCCCTCACCCGCAAAACCTACCCGCCTCGCTCTCACACTCCACAGACACCCAAACCCACCGGCGGAATAAACAGAAACAAAAAAATAATGAAAGCCCACATCTCCCCCGCCGCAACTGCCTGCGCCACCGCCTCCCAGGACTGGAGCATCTACCTCGACACGAAACTATCACTAAGTACTGAATCCACGAGCGGGTCGGTTCCGACGCTTACTCCGACTTCCACACTCCGACTTGGCGTTAGTAATCCGGGAAGGGAAGATGAAGGGAGGGATCCGCCCCGGTGAGGTCAAGCAGTGGATGATGCAAAATCTCTACGGCCTCGACGCCTGCCACCGGATTGTGGTCGTCCATCGCGATTTGACGCCTGGCACATTGGGGATTTGAATTGCAGCTTTTAATTAGGGTTCCGTTTCATGAATGTCTGACTTTGAATTGGGGTTTTTTTACTACGCAATGGATTATATCCTTCACCTTGGCCACGATTTGCATATGCCTTGCCCAAATGTTATGGTCGATCTCGATGGTAAGACTATCTCTTGCTTGAGAAGTTGCTTCTTCAGCTGAGAGGAAGGTGTCAGGAGGGATCTAGATGGAGGCGATGGGAAGAGAGGGAGAAGGAGAAGACGACGAGGGTGGTTTTATGGCGAGATAACTGACAGAGCTGGATGGTGGTTTTCAGGCGTTGGCCTTCAGCGGCGGCTGCTGTAAGGAAGGGAATGGTTGAAGATTAGTGAGAAAGAGTGGGAGGGGAAATGGTTTTTTTATTTTTTATTTTTTATTTTTATATTTTTTTAATTGACATGTCATTAAATTAATGGTACAGTCAGCAATTCCGTTTGCCACGTCATCAAAAAATTGACGGAGTTAACGGAATCTAACGGAGACTAACGGTGGGTGACTTACCGTGAAACAATTCATAAAGTTGGTGGTCAGTAAGAAAGAAAAATAATTCGGGTGGCAAATGTAAAAGATTAATGTAATTCGAGTGACCAAACGTGTAATTTAGCCTTAAAAAAAAATAATTGGAATGTTGCTGGTATAATTCAAACCCAAATATTTTCCTATTGTCAAGAACTGTATCTATTAATGATAGTATTTTACCACTTTTTGTCATAAATACCACATTTGAAATAACTCTTCAATTTAGTTCATCCAAACAAGACATTTCATTTCTCAATTTTCAGAAATACCACACAACCAAATTTCGAGTTATTTCAACCTATAAATATCACACAACCAAAAAACTCATCCAAACAACTCCTACAATTAGTTTTCGGTGTGTATATATATATATATATTCATTTACGTTTTTTCTGGCTTACTGACTGGTAAAACTAGCATTGTTACGATCAATCAATAAAAATTTTAAGAGAATGTTTGTCATAATGAAGTACGTGACACTTCAATAAATTTCTGATAGAAATATTGCAGATACTCTTTACGGTTTGGATGATAAATGCGACTTTTTTTAAACATTTTAGAGCATGAAAAAAATCGTATATAGAAAAAGTAACAGAACTAAATGTATATTTTTTTTACTTCGAATCCACGTTAAACAAAATTCTCACCACATGCAGTAGTAGTTATTAGTTACTCACCTGTGGAGTTGCCCCACCTTCTTCCCCACCATGCCCGCTGCTCTCTTGTTGTTGTTGTTGCTGCTGCTGCTGGCCCTTCTCCCCTCCTCCGCTGCCGTCGACGCGATTCTCGGTCTGGCCGTCGATGTTGAAGACGCGGAGGAGCTCCTTGGTGCGGGCGTCCCAGATGGAGAAGGTTAAGGACTGTGCGCACCAGAGCTTGGCGCGGATGTTGTCCGAGAGCAGGCATTTGACGTCGGAGGAGGAGATGCTGCAGTTGCCGTTCACCGTGACCTGGCTTCTCAGGTCGATGGCCGATCGCTCGACGAGTAAAGCGGCCATCCGCTTTTCTTCGGATTTTAGAGAAAGGGATTTCTCGATGCTCTCCCATGGCCAGATCTTTATCACTCCTCCTTCCGATCCCGACCATAAATCCCCTGCAACAAATAAAAAAACTTGTTTAATCGAACATTCCATCTGATCTGATGTAGGTGGATTCGATGGAACTAAGATAATATTTCGATATATGAGACAAATTCGGCGCTTAATCTTTGCTTAATTGAAAATAACCTAAATTGAGATGATTAATTGAATAAGTTTTATGGACTACATAATGAACTATTTGGCTAGCTTCAATGGCTGAATTATCAGATTTTTTCCCCTATAAGATCACTCGTATTATCGAGTAATTCACTAACATTTTGTGTCCAATTATATAAGTTGCAAAATTCAATATTTAGGTGTCCTATTTAGCCGTTGTAACTCAATAATGTGAAAAAGGAAAATTGGCGCGTACCATAGGAACTCATGACCATGGAAAGAACAGGCCCTTTATGCGCCTGCCAAGACAGCCCTTCCTTAAACGGAGCATTAGCCGCGGCGGCAGCATCCACCTGCTGCGGCGGCTGACCACCACCGCCACCATCCACCACCTCTTGCTCCCCTGCCGCAGCCGCCGCGGCGGCAGCAGGGGCGCTATATTGATCCGTCTTCCACGACCGAATCTTCCCGTCCTTATGCCCGCTCCAAACCAACCCGTTCGCCGCATCCACCATCAAACAGAACGTCGGCGACGTGGACGCCGACTCGTCAAACGGCGCCGCATCCTCATCCCCTCTCCGGACCTTCCCGCCCAACCCACAACCGGGGTCGTAAATCCGGTCGAACCTCCAGAACCGGACCCCGCTCTCCTGGCCCGCCCACAGCTGCGTCTCCGTGCAGGCGATGTTCCTCAGGAACTTCCCCACCTGCGTCTCCCTCAGCGGGTGCGGCCGGAGCTCCAGGCACGGCGGGCGCCCCGGATGCACCGCGGCCCTCATCGGAACCTTGAAAATCGCCTCCCCTTTTCCTCCGGCTCCGGGGCCAGATCCTCCGCCGCCGCCGGGTCCGGGGCTGGAGCTCCCCGCCGCGGCGGGAGACCCGGCGGCGACGAATTCGGAGAGCGGGGTGAACGGCTTCAGATCGAGGGTCGCTTCCTCCTCGTCCAGCGAGTAATTGGAGAAATCATCGTCGGAGGAGGAGAGAGGTCGGCTCCCCCCGCTGGCGGGAATGTCGTCGAGGCTGTGCTTCCTACCCTGGCGGTGGTGCAGCTTCCTCTCGCCGCGGAGCTGCTGGCTGTAGGATTGGACTTTCGCTCGGTGAGGATTAGGGACGGAGCTCAACCCCGCCAGCGCCTGTTTGTCTTCATCTTCGACTTTGTTCTCATTTCCTCCTCCGTCCATCGGAGATTACAACCGGCGAGACCAAAACAGAGAAATTGTGGAAAACAGGGGAATTCTGAAACAGAGTACGGGAGAAAATTTGCCAAAAGAAACGGAGACAATGAGAAAGGTTGGAATTAAAGGTGAGGGAAAGGGAATTGAGGAATTGGGAATCATGATCCGAGTTAGAAGGGAAACAATGGCGACCGGAAGGTGCGGTGGGAAACTCCCGCGGGTTCATCGGCGATTGTAAGGTAGAAACTGCTGAGGAGGAGAAAAAAGAAGAAAAAAAGGCACATGAAACATGATTTCAACTTATTGGGCCGGGCCCGGCCCGTCTGTATCCAACTAAACAATGTTACTGCCCAAATTACCATAGGTTCGGTTGAACCGGAAGGGGAAGCGCCCGCCACCCAATGTCTCGCCGGTAGAACCCGCCTGGCCAGTTGACTTTCTCGACAGCCTGATAAGCTCTCTCCCTTGCTTCCGCCAGATCATTTCCCTTGGCAGTGACTCCAAGAACACGGCCACCGGCAGATACCAAGTTGCCATTCGAGTCGAGAGCAGTGCCTGCATGGAATATCTTGACTGTTGGAGCGACGTTTTCAGCTTCTTCGAGGTTCTGAATCACGGTTCCCTTCTCATATGGACCGGGATAGCCATTGCTCGCCATCACTACAACCATGGCCGAGCCAGGTGACCACTCGAGGGATACTTGACTCAGTTCGCCTCTACAGGCAGCAAGCAGGACTTGTACCAGGTCGGATTCCAGTCGAACCATCAATGCCTACCACGTAAAAGTATATCACAGCAGTAAGAAGGGAGGCTAGATTACAAGAACTTGATAACCATGTAGATAAATCTCAATGGAGGCAGAAATAAGGTGGCTCGATCTATCTATGGAAATTACTGAATCATAAATGAGATATGTAACAAAATGGAGCAGCTCCAAATTAATGTATTCCCATACATGAATCCCAGCATAGACAACCCACAAGGCTTTCTAAAATGCATGCTACTAGGTGGGTTTTGATATATGCATTTGAAAATCGCACATTCAACACACATGCATGCTTAAAAATTAAAATGCACGAGGTTTACAGTACATAATGATCAAACAACTCCAAAATTATTTGTAGAAAAATAGTCACTTCGCCAATTATGCTGTCAGTTCAGCTAAATCTGCATGTCAAATAGGCTGACTGCGTCACTGTAATTGCTCAAATGAACACCCCACAGACTAGCCCAACCCCGCTCGTTCTAGTTATAGGATAGAGTTAGGATTCCAGATTTGTGCATATGCTTGCAGGTCAGGAGGCAGAGCTATACTGTAAAATGTTGGGTCCAGCAGGTGCATAGGTGTACTAATTGAGCTATTTCAGGTGACATATCAAACCTATTTGACATGTCAATACAGCTTAACTTAAGACTGATCAGAGTGAATGAGAAGTACTAATTCCTTTGTTACCAGATCACTTAATTTACTCTAGTGTTTCAACTACAACTCTTAATTTACTGACCATAGGGTTAAATGTGGAAATACTATCACTAACCTGGCATTCAGGGTCTCCGAACCGCACGTTATACTCGATCAATTTGGGCAAGCCAGACTTCTTTTCAATCATCAATCCAGCATACAGAACTCCAACGAACTTGCAACCCTCTGCCACCATTCCTTCCACAGTAGGAAGTATTATACTATCCATAACTATGGACTCCAGCTCCTTCGTCAATATAGGAGCAGGAGAGTAAGCTCCCATTCCGCCGGTGTTAGGTCCAGTATCTCCATCACCCACTCGCTTATGGTCTTGGGCAGACTCCAGTGGAATGGCATTCTCTCCATCCACCAGGGCAAAGAAAGATGCTTCCTCTCCCTCAAGGAACTCCTCGACGATGACCTGAGAGCCTGCTGGTCCGAACATTTCATCGACAAGCATTGAGTCGACAGCATCATAAGCCTCTTCTAGGGTCGTCGCAACTATTACTCCTTTTCCAGCAGCCAATCCATCTGCTTTGATTACGATTGGAAGCTCTTGTTCTTGAATATAGTGTTTAGCAGGCACTGGATGTCTGAATGTCTTGTACTGCATGAATACTGCTTATCAGAGTCAGAAAGAAAAGAAAATATATCTTCTGTTTTAAGTAAAGGATTTATAGTGAAAGTTTGAGAAACATATAAGAAACGACAAGGATTGCAACCATCAAAGTAAACCAAGAGAGGGGATCAAAGGGTATCAAGGAAGGAAGAAAAAACCTTGGCAGTAGGAATTCCATATTTGTCACATATACTCTTCATGAAGTTCTTGGAACCTTCCAAAGCAGCAGCCTCTGCCGATGGACCAAACACTGGAATACCAAACTTCAACAGATCATTTGCTAGCCCAGCAACTAGAGGTGCCTCTGGCCCCACCACCACGAGCCCTACACCCCATTTATGGCAGAAGTCGATTACTGCTGAACTATTAGCAATATTGAGCTCAGTAACACAAGTGGCATCACCAGAGCTGGAAATCCCCACGTTTCCCGGGGCGCAGAAGACAGTTTCACAAGAGGGGGATCTCTTTAGTGCATAGCAAAGTGCATGCTCTCTTCCTCCTCCACCAATCACCAATACGACCACTCTCTCATCTGTCACGAGAGAATTAGAACATCCATCAATGATAAACAAAATTGCTAACAGAACAAGGGTAAAAAAAATGTCAACTCTTTGTTCAAAGAGAGAGGCAAAAGAACGAAACCACTCTCAATTCTCCAAGGCTCCAAAGGAGTTTCATTGACCATTGTCATAAAAAATAAGCAACCTTCAGCGGAAGACAAAGCCCTACGACTCTGAGCATCTCAAACCTTCAGTCATGGAATTACCTGCCTATATCATGGACCCTATGAACCTATACACAGTACGATAAATGGGGCAAGTGAGATATGACGGAAGAGAACCGAGAATTGTAACACCTAACCCTTCAAGTCTCAATCATATCCCATCTAATGAACAGCAAAAAAAACTACTTCATTGAGTCTCAATTGCAGGATGACCACGCACTCCTCCCTATCGACACCTGAACACTACCGCTCATCCCTACGAGTCCCTGTTCAGAAATCTAAATTACTATTGCTAGAATATCACTACTACTAATCACAGAACCAAACAACCAGAATACCCAGAGGAAAAGCAACTCCACTTGCTTTGCACAGGTGAATTAGCATGGATTCTGGTTCCTCACCTACACATACCTCAACATAGCTACTGAGATCAGCAAATTCATACAGGGACCAACCCTGATTCTCAGACTACAATCACCATTATCAAGAAGTAATTCATTACACGATAAGATTCCAGGAAGCAACACATTTAGTAGTCAGAGGACTATCCACCCAATTCATCAATTCTCATAGCACCACAATTTCAAAACCCACAATCGAATCGAGACAGACAGACAGACAAAAAGAAAGGGATCTCCCTTCCTGCCTCACCAGAGTCATCCCTACCCAGAGAGGCGACTGAAGCCGAGTTCCCCGATTGCTGGGCAGCAGAACAACGCAAACCGGTGCTAACCAGTCTTCTGCTTTCCCAGCTATTCATACTATTCCCGCAGCCAACGAGTCTCGGAAATGACGCAGACGAAGAGAAAAGGTTGCTGAAGAAGGAAGAGGGAGCGCTTGACACTGAGAAATTGACATTGTTCTTGTTGAAGCCGGAGAGAAGCTTGGCAGAAGGCGCGAAAACTCTGGAAGAAGTCACACACGACATTTTTTGAGGGATGGATTGTCGCCAGAAAAAAAGCTCTTTTATCTGCTGCTATTGCGCTGCTGAGGGAACTCGTTTTCCGGATGTATATATGGAAAGACCTTCATAAATCAAAGCCACGGGGGACGAACACGAAGGCGGACGTGGCCGGAGCATCGGCGGCGGAGGAAATTGCGGAGGGACGGGCAACAAGGGGAACTGTGTAGGGTTTTCCGAACCAGGAAAACAAAGTAGGTGGCGCGAAACCCTCGAAACTGGTTTCGGACCTCTAACCTCGCTCTGAAATGAACCCCGAGCCACAACTGGTTTGAACCGACCCAAACCCAAGATCAAACCAGCTCATTGAACCGATCCAAATGTATTTCAAATGGCATCGTAATTACGAGTACTCCTCGTTGTTAATATAAAACATTAGAGCTTCAATCTCGCTTGACAATCCAATTTTGAGAGTCATTTTAATGTTATCTTGTTGATCCATTGATGAACAAGATATTAAGATGATCAACAAGATATTAAGATCTATTGTAACGAATTGGCTCTTGTATATTTATTTGGATTCGAACAAGGCACGAAGTCTGACTGATTTGAATCCGCTTTGGCGTGTGATCTCAACAAAAATCAAGGTGGGTGGCGTGAGTATCTGGTGGCAAGAGGAAATGACGAACACGAGAATGTTTTTTGACCTCCACTATATAAATGTAGTGGTTGATGAGGAACGGGAAGAAATATGGAGGTTTACTGACATCTACGGGTGGCCTTAGGGAACTTATTGTGTTCGCTTAGCTTACAATGGAATGGTCCATGGCTTTGCAGGGGTGATTTTAACCAAGTTCTCTCAACAGAAGAGAAGAGTGGAGGAAGATCTGTTCAGGAAGTCGACATGTGCAACTTTAGAGACTGTCTCACTAAAGTGGGTCTCCATGACTTGGGTTATCATGGATTATGCGTGGGAAAAGAGAAGAAGAGGTGGTGGTTTGATCGATGAGAGATTAGATAGGTTTGTGGTTAATGAAAGATGGCATAACCTATTTGGGAATAGTCGATTTATGCATCATGATCGAGCTAGCTCAGACCATCGCCAGATTATATGCGACACTCGTGGAGCGAAAGATGTTGATAATTAAATGGGGATGACCGTTCCATTTTGAACCACACTAGACAAAGCACGAGGATTGCCCCCGTGATAGAAGAAGCCTGGAAAGAGCATGGGTCCTCGGATATATTTGTAAAGATGGACTGTTGTTGCACGAAGTTGGAGAGGTGGAACAGGCAGAAGAAAGAAAAAAAAATGAAAGAGCATTGTGCGCTTTGGAGAGAAGAGTAAAGACAGAGGAAGTGCTGAATCAAATCCGACAACTTGAGAGTGAAATGGTGAATGTACTGGACAGTGAAGAGCAATACTAGAAGTAGAGATCCCAAGTTGATTGGTTGAGAGAGAGTGATAAAAATACTGCCTTTCTTCGTAGAAAGGCGACGACACGACGAAGATGAAACTCAATCAAAAAAAAATAAAGATGATGCGGGGAGGTGGCATGTGGGGCACGATGCGGTCACTGCATGCATGGGTATTTTGGTCGATATTTAAGTCATGCAAGGACCCAAATGAGTGGTCGGGTCTGTCTTCAGTGAATCATCGAGTCAGCAAGGAGGATAATGAGCTCTTACTTTGTACTTTCAGTAGAGAGGAAGTGTGGAGCGCACTGAAACGGATGGGGGGGGGACTCCTTATGCCGATGGCCTTTCAGTCCTTTTCTTCCAAAGATACTGGCATGTAGTGGCAATGATGTTGCCGAGACAGTATTGGAAATTTTGGAGACAAGAAAGATGTCGGATAAGCTCAATCATACACTAACATTATAGTTGCTCCCGATAATTCTTTGGTAAACTTGATAACTCTTGTAGAGTCGGTAGCTCTAGCATCCACACTCGACTTCTGAACTTCTCCAGATGAAACTTCGATACTGGGGGTACTAGGTTTTAGTTTGTTGGCAATGGAAGTATGGAACTACTATTTGGCTTCTTTGTAGTCCACACATCATCCTCCCCAACAAAGAAGAGTTTCCTCATTTAGATAAATTAGCGATTGTAAATTCCTAAGGCATGCAGACTGAGGATTTATAAGGGGTGATAACTCAAAATTGCAAGTCAATTGTGGCACTCTTGCCTCCTTTGATGTGTCAGCCCGATTACTTGTACCAACATCATTTTCAAAAAGCTTCTTTGAAAAATAGAAGAATATTCTTGTAAACTTGCCTCCTTTGCTGGCGATCTCCTGGTTAGCAAGACTTTACCCGGAATACTACTCCTTTTGAGCATCCTTGAATACATAAGAGGATGAAAGCATTAGAAAAAGGATCTAACAAAAGAATTTTTAAAAAAAATCTTCCGTATTCTGATGATTGCTGGAAGTGGCTTTGGTCGCTCGATCTCCCACCAAATATCCGGTTCTTTACGTAGAGATGTGTTAGAAATGCGTTGGCGACAAAGTTGAATCTGTTCCGACGCTGGTGTTCGCCCAATCCAAAGTGCCAATTGTGTGATGCTGAGGTTGAATATGATATCCCCTGTTTGTTCTTGTGTTCTCATGCAGATGCTACTTGGGAGAAGGTGGTGCCAAGCATGCTTCTTCCGCAGAATCTTTCTCAATGGATCTTCGCATTGAAAGAAGCGGATTCCCCAGCGTCAATTCACCAAAAGACTTTCTGCTTGTGGAACATTTGGAAGGAACAAAATGAATTCATCTTTAGAGGAGTTGTTTTGTCCCAAACAACGTCCTCTATCTATGCTTTGAGAGACGCGGCAGAGCCTCACTTTGATGCCGGTTCGTCTTCCTCTTCTCGTTTTCGGTACATTCAGTTATAATCATGTCCACCATCGGTTCTATATCACAGAAGAATCTATTGTGATGGTTTGTTTGACTATGAAACTCTTGAGGCGGCCATTGGAGTTATTACAAACTCTATCGGGCAGATTTGTTATGGAAGAGCAAAGAGGGTTATTTGTTCTTCTCCGATCGAGGCTGAGGCGTGTGCGTTATTGTAAGAAACCCGCTTCTAGGGTCTCTAGGGACTGATCTTCTGCACCCGTGATTATACGTAACAAAGAGGGATTTGGGGATCGGGATAAGAAATTAGGAATTTAGATTGGAGAATTGGGGATTAGGGATTGAAGAACAGAATTGGGGAGAATAGAGGAGAACTTGTCGAAGTCTTTGGGGGAAGAGAGAGACGAGGATTGAGAGGATTTGGGAAAGATTAGGGTTGGGATAGTTTCTTTAATATTCTTCTTGCTTGCCTATGACGTAAACCGGAAGTACATATTTATAGGGAAAATACCGGTAAACCCTAACAAATAACCTAATTGGACTAAATCTCTACTAACCATAATAATAATTATTCTACTAAAAATAATAAGGGAAACCCACGCAAACTAGGTTTTTTAACAATTATTCGAAGTGTGTCGTCTGGCAGCAGATGAGACAATTCCAACTACAATCCTCTCCGACAGCAAGATACTGGTGGATGCTCTTCATGAAGATCCCTCGAAATTGCTATGCATTGCTTTCTTCTATTAGAGCCATCTTATACGAATCGAGTTGGGTTAATGTTTCTTTCACCAGCTGTCGCAGTAATAGGAAAGCCGATTGGATTGCCCATAATTGTCGATTGAACAACTTTCACCCATAATGGTTTTCTGTGCTTAATGTTTTATCGGATTTGCTGTAATTGCTTGCTGTAAGATCTGCCTTTTAAGGCTTGGAATGAATGAATACACCACTGATTTTCAAAACAAAAACAACAAAAAAAACTTGTTATGGAAAAGCTCAAGTTTTGATGGCTCAATAACTTTTTTGCTCTTTCGCCCCTCGGTTAAGTAACAAAAGATACAATGGTCAATAAAAACGCACTTTTTATTGAATTACCGTCATTTCCTTCCCTCCTTTTATGATGCCCTTCCAAGTTCCAACCTCGAACTTCGAGTCAAATGTATCACATTGACAGCCCTTGCAGTCCACGTTACACCTTTTGAAACATCATAAAGGAGTCCTCAGAAAAAACCAGCTTATGAATACCTCAAATATGCACAAAAGATTGATAAAATATCACTATAGAGACAACAACTATGCCAAAGTGCTGCTAACTTTGCCATCTAGATTCCACACAACACATGGCATTTCCGTCCGACAAACAAATCAACATAATCATATAAACAAAATGCACAAGGGATCTGTTGTACATACTGCCACACACGAATTCCCAGCACAGACAGTATTCAAAATTCTAAACAAATCTTGCCACCCTTCTCATCAACTGAGTCATAGCAGATCCACATTCACCCCATAGTTGAGCAAACGAAATCAAGAAAAGGGTATTTTAAAAAAAATTGAAACCAACAATCCAAAGATTACAAAATCCCTATAGCATCCCAATTAGCTCTTGAGTCCTAAATCTCTCCTCAAATCCACGTCACTTTTGTGCCAGAAGCATTGCAGACGTACAACAGTAGGCCCTCACTCGATCTTACACATGCAGGACAAATTGAAGACTTCTGAGTGTTTTGGAGGTGAGGAGGTGGGGTTAGATGTAGACGTGAAATGTGAAGAGATTCGTTATGGGTCAACTACTTATCATAATAGTGCATCCATTTTCTCAGCTTCGTCCAAGGTGTCCATCTTTGGATGTTTGGTTGGAGGAATTGTGATTCTTTATTCATCTTCCTCAACTGGCCATCCTGTTTGAAGTGAGTCACACTCCAACAAAAGTAGCATAATGACATGTGTAAATCTACACTACTTATAATACATTTTAAAGAGGTTGATTTGCTCCATTTCAAATTTCCTGCAATGAGAGTGAAAAGTAGGAAGGGTATTTTCGTCTACACAATCAAAATTTATTTCATATAAAAAGATATTAATGCCAGGATTTGAACCGTGGTCTCTTCTATCAAAGACAATAATTGTAACCAATTAGACTAGACACATTTGTTGTACTTTATTAATACAAAACATAAAGTAAGTTAAAAATTATGAAAAACAGAGTACTTTTCTATCACGGTTAGTTAGCCCGCGAAGTCTCCTGTAAGTATTTTGTGGTGTTTGATACTTCTATTTTCATATTTTAATAATTAATTTAGAATTTTTCCTAATTTATAAATGAAGGATAATTTTAAAATCTCAACACAAATATCATTGGTTGGAATATTGCGCGTTGAATTGAAGTGTTGATGAAGTGTTCAATGACG